ATCTTCTGGGGGCTCCGCCCGCTGGACCAATCAGTGTCCTGCCAGTGTCACAAATAAAGTATAAAAATATGTTCATCTGACTGTAATCAAATGCTTAAACCCCTGAGCTTCCGGGGGCTCTGCCCCCTGGACCCCACTGGATGCTAATCTGACGGTAATGTAATGCTTTAAACCCATGGGCTTCTGGGGGCTCCGCCCGCTGGACCTCAGGCCAATCAGTATCCTGCCAGTTTCACAAATAAGGTATAAAAATATGTTCATCTGACCGTAATCAAATGCCTGAAACCCCTGAAATTCAGGGGTTTCCGCACCCTCGACTCCACCAGGGGCCCTGAGGCGGGCCCCTGAATGCTTATCTGACCGTAATTTGCCTTCAACCCATGAGTTTCCGGGGACGAACAAGGTATCAAAAGATGTTCATCTGATCGCAGGCACGTAGCCGGGGGGGGGGGGGGCAGTGGGGGCGCCCCCCCCAAAAAAAAAGCAAAAAAAAGAGAGGAGAGAAAAGGAAGAGGACGTATGAAGAAAAAGAAGCAGACAAAAAACTGTATTCATGCAGGCGAGGATTATTTTCGAGAACGGTACAACGAATCGTCTTCTTTCTCTAATGATTTAATGAAACGTAAAAGCTTCCGAGCTTTGCGGGGGAGGGGGGGGGGGCGATGAATTTAGACAAGGATTAAGAGTAAAAAACGGTACAACGAATCCTCTTCTTTCTCTAATGATTTAATGAAACGTAAAAGCTTCCACGCTTTGCGCGGAGGGAGGGGAACTGTATTCAGACGAGCAGGCACGTACGCAGGGGGGGGGGGGGGGAGGGGTTTGGGGCGTTAACCCCCCCCCCTTCGTTTTTTTTTATGTCTGTATTTTGAAGCAAACCCCCCCCCCCCTTTTTTTTTTAAATGAAACACACACAAAAAAAATTATGCCAATGGCTGATCTAAAAAAGGTGACCTCACCCCCTCCCACCCCTCCCCAAAGGGAACAAAATGTCAAATTTTCAAATTTCGAGACCAAAAAACAAAAAAAAGTGTCCTCTTACCCCCCCCCCCCCCCCCCGCTTATTCAGCGGCTGGCTGAGCCGTTGCAATTTTTTGGGGGGACAAAAAAAAAAAGTGGGCCCCCCCCCCCCCTAAGGAAGAAATCCTGGATCCGCCCCTGGGTGCACATATCCCCCCCCCCCCACCTTGAAAACAACGGCGTGAGGTGATCTTACGCGCACTTTCCACGTTGGCCTTAGTGCCCCTTAGGATAGATTTGTGCCCGTTTCAGTGGATTTGTGCCCTCTCAAAAAAGTGGCCTTGACCCAAATTTGATGTAATTCGAGGCCTGTATGTATCATGTAGATTCACATTTCCCTTTGATCTATGTATGTATCATGTAGATTCACATTTCTCTTTGATCTATATGTATGTATCATGTAGATTTACAGTCCAGCATTAAAAGCTTATAAATGGAGGCTAGTCAGATATGCGTTTCGGAAATTAATCATCTCTAGGCTTTACTGGTTTCATAATGCCTGATGGAAGGTTTTCAAACTACAGGCGTGAACCATTAATCATGCCGAGATACATTCTTAAGCCTTTGGATTCAAATGGCTCTCATCTAGATACCCTGGTGACGTCAAACTATTGTTTCATTTTTTTTTGCTTTGATTGATTAATGCATCAGAACCTGTCTGAATCGAAACATACATTTCTCATGTTTGCTGGTAGTCTATGTTAGTTACATGTATGTTACACGTAGGCTTACATGTATGTTTCAGTGCAATTTGAGCTTCACATATTTTTGTATCCTGTTTCGAGTTTGCAAGTTCCTCTTTCTCATGCGGGTGCTTCCTGTCGCCCAGATGCGCTGCCCTATATTTATAGCTCTTTTCTTATTAAAGGTAATATTGTACATTTTGGAGTAAAATGAAAGTGGTTGAATCGTTAATTCATCTGTAATAAGCTAGCAGAAAATGCATATTGTGCAATGTAGGCGAGGAAATACCATCCAGTCTGTTGTAAGGACTTGTTAATATATTATATAAAAAATAAATCTTTCTACGTTTTCTGAGCTCATTTGAAAGACACTCGTTTTGGGAGAATGTCATAATCACCAGTACCTCAAAATTTCGTCTTTTGAGTTCAATTCTTTTTTTTCTTTAAATTTTTTTGGAATCTACATATCTCTTTTTTTCATATTCTCTACATATCTATCCACATTCATGAACTATGTCACTCATTTCTTTACCTGTAGATAGCTTACTGTGTATGTCTGTGTCTTTCATCATGTTGTTCATGTCGTGACTTGAACAGTTTGTAGCAGTCATGTTTTACATATGACATCTTTGTTCACGTTCTCAGTATATTATCTATCCGTAGTCATGATCTTATCAATATGACTTTTCGACTTGCCTGATTGTCTCTTCTCTTCCTGTTCACATAGTACTTGATCAACGTTCTGTAGAGATCATGATTTTATACATTTGATATCTCTTTTCATATTCTTATCTTATTATCCATCCATTCACAATGTATCCCACTCATTTTTGACCTGTAGAAATCCACTTGCCTATCTGGCCTGTCATGTACAGAATTTTATCATCTAGCTGTTCAAGCAGTGACTTAAAACAAAGTTTTGTAGCAGTCAAGTTTTATATTTGAGATCTCTCTACACGCCTATATGACCCGTAGAAAGCTTCATGCCTACCTGTATTTGGCATGTCACGTAATTTTTTTTTTAAGTCTTGCTGTTCATATAGGGACTTAAAGGGCAATCCAACCCTTGTAATAAATAGATTTGAATGAAAGCAGAAAAAGTAACAGAAACAATGGCAAAAGTTTGAAATGAATCAGACCAATGGTATTAAAGTAAGAGATCACTAAAGTCGGCTATGCGAATCTCAAATTGGTAGTTTGGTCAGTGGATTGTGACATAAGACGTAGATAACTCTCCCGTTTGCCATGTACAAAAATATCATTAGTTTCTTTTTTCTTGTATAAGGTCCTTCTCCCTTAGGGCACTACTCAAAGAGTGATTACAACCTTCAAAAACTCATAACTTTCTTATAGTTAGCCAGATTTAATTGAAACTTTAATCAGTTTGCTACTCTGCTTTCTGTTAGAGTAGTTGTCTATTTGGGTTGGATTTCCCTTTAATAACATTTTGTTGCAGTCATGTTATACACTTGAGATCTCCCTTCATGTTCTCAGCATATCACCTTATCTATCCGCATTCATAATCTTATCATATTCCCTCCTGACCTGTGACTCTCTTTTGGTATAGCTCTCCATTTCCTGTTCACACTGCTATAAAACAATGTTTTTATAGAGAAGATATGTATTGTATACAGTAGGCTTGCGGGTGCACCATGTGAGAGAGAGAGAGAGAGAGGATTGAGGAGTCCGGAAAAGGACTCTCCGTAATCTTTCTTGATATGTATTGTTCTTATGACTACTGTATAATGACAATAAATACTACATTGTATGCCAAGAAAGGATGTAAGTGCAATTACCACTTGCCAAGAAAGGCGTTTTCATTCTGTATCTGTATTTTATGCTTGACTTCGGCAAAAAAAAAGATTTGCTCTTGACAGAATTTGAATTTTGTTTTGAGGTTTGTTTGGCATAGCAGAAACTAATTTATTCAATTTACATTATGAGTACAAGAATACAAGGAGCCGTTCATGGCTTTAGACATGTAATTTTAAAAAAAAACTGTAATTATATAGCCTCATTACAAAAATGGTTGATTGACCAGTCTACGAGATGGTACTGGTAATAAATGAAAACTTGATAGGAGATCAAACTTTTGAACGTTTTAATTAGTCCAGAGAACTAACCAAAATATATAGATAATTTACATATCACATGATAATATATGTTCTTGATGATCTGTCATTTGTTCTGGGCTTTAATTTGTCAAAGATGTAAGGTAAGGGATTGCATGGGTTGTTATTGGCTTTTGGGTTATGTTTAAGGATAGGATATGATGAAGAGTTTACCTTTTTTTAGTAAAGCGTTGAAGATTGGAATTCAGGTAGTGTAGGATATTGCCTGCATAAAAACAGAGCAAATTGCTCTAGGAAGACGTATTGTACAACCACGTTTCTGTCGTGTGTGAATCCACCCCCGCCCAGGGTGGTTTGAGACAAGTTTAATGAAAGGTCTAATCAGCGCCATAATGCTTGCATAATCTCTGAGGCGAAAAACAGGAAATCATGATTTGCAAAGTTGTCATCTCCTAAAGTGCCTCGATAGATGGGTGCGATTACACACACGTGTGTGTGTTGGTGGAGACGTGTGCGGTTCGCTGCGTACCCTGATCAAATCAATAGTAATTCTCTTCAATTTGAGCAGAAGATCTAGTAAGAGAAAGTGAGCTACACTTACAGAAAGCATTGCAATGCTGACGATATACAGGCTTTTCTGTGGTGCGGAGTTAATTGTATTTGAACTGCCTCCATTTCTTGAGTCAATTGGGTGGAAAAAAAGGTTGTCAAGGTATTTTGTGCAAGATGTCATGTTGGAATATTACTTGTAAATATGTTAAGATGCGGTGAATTGCGATAGCGTGGTTATTTTTAACGCATTGAATTGTTTTGTAACCACTCACTGAAGAAAGGCTAAAGTTTGAGTATATAAATATACTGTGAATTTCTTTGTTTCTATGGTAACCAAAAGCAAAAGCTGTGATATTTCATGTGTTTAGGGAATTACTAATGTAACATTCTTTGCTTTTTGTTGATCATATACATGTATGTACTGTCTCCACTTCCTGTGGAGTATTTCTACACAATTTTTAATTTGAGGATGCTAATTTTAATGCTAAGATTAATTGTAAAAAGTCATTACTCGTCTACATGTGTCTTCTATTTCATCAATGACTACTCAAATCAAATTCTGTTTAAACAATTTGTAGTTTTATTATCTTGTTCAAATTTAATTAACTTTTTGTGTACTTCAGGTGTAATGTTGGTCACATCTAATAAGTTTTTTCTTTCTGTGTCTTTACAGATGCTGTGTAATCTTCTTGAAATGATAGAAGTGATTCGAGGAATGGGCTTGGATAAATCTACAGATATGTCATAACAGTGGATGGACAGTGATCGACTGTCCCCACAGAGCGAGACCTTTTATTATGAGGAGGAGAACTGAAGGGAAATCTTTGTCAGGTTTCAGATTGCCTTCTCTCAGTCTGCCTGACATATCAACAGCAACCAGTGACAACTCATTGCGGGGCAGCATTGCTGCAGGGACACCACCGTTGGCAGCCAAACCAATCATGCCAGAGAGTCTGGAGGTGGACACCGCTAGGAGGAAACCGTCCGTAAGCGACGATTGGTCTTCGGAACAATTTCTGTCCCCCGGGCACAGGGTAGGGTCTTGGAACACATCTCTTGATTCGGTCACCGTTCGACCGGTCTCGCCAAAAATCTTCAGTCTATGCAGCAAGTTTATGAGCTCGAGCGACAACAACGAGTTGTCAAGTGCCTCGAAGGATCACCTTGCCATCCACAACTCAAGACCTCGATCAAAGTCCTTCACTCTTGCCTCAATAACTGACGACCCAAAGTCCCCCGAACAGCTCTCGTCTTTGTTTATCAGACGCTCTAGCAGTCCAAAGCCATTGAAGATCAACCTTGCTCCCCCTGAAATATACTCTATAGATCCTGAGAATGGGGGTCTGCTCCCTAAGCAACTCCTATCACCAAGCACAAGTCCAAGTAGTGGGTATGGCAGTGGGTTCAACTCAAGCAGTCCCGTGTGCATGAGCCCTCGCAGTCATTCGCCAACGCTCGAGTCCCAACTGGAGAGAGAACCTAGTGAGGAGAAATCGTCTTTGTCAGTTGTACCTCATGAACAAGGACACACAAGGACTCGCAGGAGCATCAGTCATGACAGTGGTGTCTCAAGACTCTCTGTTGAATCGCCCTCATGTGTAGGGCGTTCATCGAGCGAAGAGGAGCCATGTTCTGAGAGCCGCAGTCAAGTCAGGAGCATGCATTCTCATTGCGGAGGAAACATTACCATACAGGTCCCCAAACCTGTGCGACCACAGTTGGTCAAAACCAAGCCAGTATTTCATCTCTACCCCCCTGGAAGCCCAACCAATGTGATAATGAAACCTGAGATCCTGTCACCGGATGAAGGGTTCCAGGATCTCAGGCTCCCCCATGAACAACCATCATCGAGCATGCCTACATCTCAGCCTCTCGCTCCCCTTAGCCCTGCTCATGTCGAGATAAAAAGGACAGAACTCAGGGTTCGACTCAACCCCCCTGGTAGTCCCCTCCCGACCCGAATCCATGAGACCATCCCCGGTCTCAGCAGACGCTTCTCCGAAGAAGGAAGTCTGGACCAGGATGGGGATGAGAAACTCCTTTCAAGTGCCACTTCTACGGAGGAACAAAGAGTGCCTTTTTCTTCAACCGAATCGAAGCCTTTAAAGCGTGATGCAATGCCTCCGGCTCTTGTTATTGATATGTGCGAGACACCACCCCGTTCGGAGCAGAACTCGCCACCCGGTTCTTTCAATGCAAACTCAGGATCCAACTCGATCAGACCCTACCAGTTCCTGACCCTAGCCGACATTCAGTCTGGCACCGTACATCGGAAACTCTCGACGGACAGTACGCTTTCCTCGTTCAGTCAAGGGTCAATTGAGGATGAGTTGGATGAACATCGGAACTCAAGGTTAGCGGACAGTGCCCCAGCTCCTACGTCAGCAAAGGCCCCCTTTACGGCAGCAGGGAAAAGGGCACAGTTCAGTAGTGTAAGTATCCACACTCATCATAAAATCTCTTTACCTGTCATCATATTTTCTCATTAAACCCGCCCATTTGAAAGAGAAACGTAACTTGATCATTCTCCACACTAATTTATGATTCATGTGTGAATAATGCAGTATGTTTTGATCTCTCTCGTGTTTGCATAAATGCCTGTAAAAGGACAAAGACGAATGGGAGTTTTGTTGCTGTATCGATCTTCTTACGATTGGATTTATGACTTCACTTAACGCTCTCATCATAGGCTGTTTCTATCGTTACCAAGTTGAAACGGTGAGCCTATAATTGCAGGCTCTGTTCATAGCTCTCTAAAAAAAGAGAAAAGAATCAGCTTTCTGATGACATCTATGTACACTTGTACATTATCTATCTCCTCCCCGCTCTGTGTGTTACCAGCATAAAGATATTTTGTTGTTCAAAAGAGCATTAAAAAAATTTGCTTTTAACAGTAAGAGTGGGATTTTCTCAGAGATGTTTAAGTAGTTTTTTTTAACCAGGGACAGCCTTTTAAGAGCTTTGCTTAAAAGGTCACTTCATCTCTGTATTTTTTTCATGGCTTGTTGAAACTCTCTCAAATATAAAGGGTAATATCAATATGTATATGATCAGCAATAGTTAGATTCATAACCATATGAACTTTTGTAAGGTAGAGTGAATGATGTCTCTTATATAATGATGATGATGATAATAATAATTGTATTGATTATAAGGATGGTGATTATGATGATGAAGATTATGATGGTGATGATGATAATAATGATAACAATGAAAATAACAACAACAATAATAGTGATAATAAAATCAAATTAATGCTTTCTTATAGCCGAGTTCACAAACAAAATTAATATTCATGTTTGAACAGACAATAAGCAAGTAAATAATTAACAAGCTAGGAAATTATACATTGTGAGAGAAATGGAATCAGTGAATCAAAGATTATTTTGTTTTCTCAAAAAAAACAAAAATCAGCATTTAAAAATGGTGATCGTATTCAGAATGAAAATTCCTTTTGTATTCTTCAAATTTGTTCAGACGAAAACTATTTAAAAAAAGAAACATTGATGGGTAATTTCAATGCCCTTGTTTTTGGGCTGAATCAGACATTTTTTGCCGTTTTTCTATTCAACTAATGTACTGAGCTATTTTATCGTTCTCTAGACATGAATGTAAACATTGTCCATGCAGAGCCAGAAGGGCATTGACCCTGCATTGAGGTTCATGAGTTAACGCCGTTCTGGCTCCAAACATACAGATATGAGCTATGCTGTATTTAACTCGACGGAAGTAATATACATGCGACAAGGCGACTGCATTTCAACAGTCATCCTTATAAATATATTTATTGGGCGAAAGAAGAGCATCGTATTGTCTGCCTCGTCCTTCGCGGCCGTGGAAGCATTTGATGTGATTAATTCAGCTTAGTTTGGGTCACACCTGAGATAAAAGTGATTGTATCGTTAGAAATGTCCTTCCGCTCAAGAGCGCCAGCACCTCCCCAAGGGTCGCGTGTGGTATTGATGAATAGTCGATGATACGAATGGTATCGTCTGGCGCGTTCAAACTGCAAGGGTCGCGTGTTGTATTGATGAATAGTCAAAGATATGAATGGTATCGTTTGGCGCGTTAACACTGCAAGAAGTGGTATGGAAGGATACGATAGTGGGAGAAGTGAGGAGAGGGTTGAAATTGTTAATTGTATGCAACTGTGCACTCTTTAAAAAAAAAAAGAGTTAACATTTCAGCTACTGCTACTACTACTTTTACTTCTACTACTACTACTTCTACTACTACTACTACTACTACTACTTCTACTTCTACATCTACTACTACTACTACTACTTCTACATCTACTACTGCTATTATGCCTACTACTACTACCAAAACTACTACTTCTCCTACTTCTGCTGCTGCTGCTGCTGCTGCTGCTACTACTACTACTACTACTACTACTGCTACTGCTGCTACTACTACTACTACTACTACTACTACTACTACTACTACTACTACTACTAATTTACTACTACTGCTTTTATTTATTTATTTTTTAATAGACATTGAAAGTGTGGACATTCATATAAAAATTACAGGCCCTTTGGTTTCAAAGAGATTAATCAAAGTAGTTCATCATGCAAAAACCAAGCATATCCTTGGAGTATGATGTTGAGAAGATAAGAATGCAATACTGAAACCAGCAGATGACACATCTTATTTTTGAACTATTTATTTGTACATGCATGTTATGTGTGTATAACCAGTGAAACTGTTGTACAATCTGCTGTGTGCATTGCTTTATAGGTCAATGAAATAACAAAATTCACGATGGAAAATGATCTTATTCCTCGATACAATCTGCAATGCAGCCTCCTTTTCCTTTCCGGTTTTCACCTTTCCTTTTTTAGATAACATCTCCCAAAGGGGCTTGTCTTTTACTGATCACCATGCTCATTTCAAATTAACCTCTTAATGGTCCTAATAATTGGCTCCAAGCCACTAATGCAGAATATGTTAATGTGATGGATAGAGATTAAATCATAAAATATATGCACTTTTCTTGTCAACACAGTGGCATTGGATCGAAAAATCATTATGCACGGTTGGCTAGGCAACGTCCTCGTAAATAATGGCCATGGAACAGGTTTTTATTTGTTTCGCTTTAAGGTATCTCCACCAATTGTGGTATATTGCTGATGCATGAAAGCAGTGAATCTGTTGTTTTGGTTGTAAATTGTCAATTTTCCCTCCTTGTTCCTCCCTTTTCAATGATAAGGACTGGTCAACTTTAATACTTTATAGGCTTCAGAGTAAAACCTACATAGTTTGATCAGTTACACATCGACAGTTGTCACTACAATAATATTTGTACTCTCTGTCCAGGGTGATTTAGGTGTTCTTGTTGTTTTGCTGGGTCTCTCTGATATGTTTTCTCTCAAACTAGGGGCAAGGTTAAAAATGTGAATCCTCATTAGCCAGCCTTTATTAAACATGCATGCATCGCTATTGATTGTTTTGTCTGTTTAGAGCAAGAAGAGCATTAACTATTTATGTACTTTTTACAAGGACTTGTTAATTGTATGCCGCATATGATTTTTCTGCCTCTCGCCAGAAGATATGTTTTTTACAGGTAGGCACATATGCACTAATCTATTTGTAGGTAAGCATAGATTAAATAGGTCTAGTGAGACATACCTTTATACTGTATGTCTTTGTAGCGCTACTGTGTGGGCCCTTTAGAGCGAGAAAGACATCAACTCGTATCCTTTGATGTACAAAGTAAACGCCCTCGTAGCTCTTTCGACTGTTGGTATTATTGTCTGCTAAATACCCCCAAATCATGCGGTTAATTGTGCATACACCTACTACCCGGTCATTGTACAGACTTCAGAGTGTAACAAACAAGTAAGGTTATATCATAGTGTCTTTTAATAGGGAATGGCCATTTATCTTCACACCGCTCTTTCATAGTTGTTTGCACAAAACAGGGATTTATTTTGTTGTGTGAATCCTTTATAGAATTGATGACGTTAGTACAACAAAAGAAAGTGTTTTATTGAGTGAAAATGACCATATCCTGCTTCAGAGAGATAGTAAAAAATCCTAAGGTTAAAAAAGAGCACAATACAAAACAAAAACATAACAATAAACAGGCAAAATAGAATTTTTATATTGCCTTTCAAATAGCACCATCATACAAATATCATTGCGTCATCATGCTTACAAATACACTAATCCCTCATTATAATATAGCCTGTAGTGTAGCAATCTACCTGTACAAATCCAAATCCTCAGGTATATAGAATGATACCAAGAGTTTGCCAATTAGTCAGTGGTGACCTGTCTTTCTGCCGTGCTAATAACTCTTGGGTTTAAATATTTGTTTGACGGCTCGTTCAGATATGGGGTGGTAAACCGCTGCAGCAACAAAAAACACGACACAGATTTTTATACGTAGAAATGAATGGCAACAAAGACCTGCACATTTTCACTGAGCTCAATGTGTTAAGACACAGAAATGTGAACTGTATTACAATTTACATTATCACATACACATTATATTTGAACGATGCCTTGCAATGGTGTTGTAGGGATATTCATGTTTTTTTCTGATAAAAACCACACGAAAAGACTTCTATGGCCTGATCACAATAGAGATAACCATTTCATATCCAAGATTTTTAGGTAAAGGATTTCCCTCCTATTCTGTGTGTGCGTGGTGTCTGTTGGCAATTCCATTGATGGAAACCTGACTTTAGAGAGTGGTGTGATATCACTGTGATTTCGTAATTTTAAATAACCATTATCCATGCATGAGGTATAACAAGTAGGAAATATGTTTACTGAATAAGAATTACTGTTATTCACAAGTATTAGTTAAAGAATCACCTTGCAAAAATTTAAGATATCAAGGAATGATTTTCATATTTTCCATATCATAGCGCTTATTTGGCTTCCTATAGCTCCTTTCTTGTTTGTAACATTCTTTTTATCTATTTAAAAAAAAATTATAAATCACAAGCATAAATCAATATTGAGGGGAACTTTTAAATGTGCATTTTCAGCAAGGTTTATGGACACATGGACCATAGAATACAGTTTTGTCTTCTCTTACAAATATGATGCCTTTGATATTTCTTTCACACGATATGGATACCTATTTGATTCCAGTATTGTCTTCCCTTTCAAATATGATGCCTTTGATATACCTTTCACATGATTTGGATACCTATTTAATTCCAGTTTTATCATAGTTAAGTTAATGATCTCAATCTTCTTGACCTCTCTTTTTTTAAAGAATGGACTTTAATTCATCATTTTCTGAAATTCATTAAAGAGAGATAATCTTTGATTGAAACCAGTTTGAGAAGAGCGCTCAAAACTCTAAGGTACTCGTTAATTCATAGATTGTTTCTTATTCTGTATAAATTCTCTCCATATCAAATGGAGAAATGGTATTTTTAGAACACTGTTGAATAGTAGCAATCAACCTTCTCATTTGATTTGAAGTGAAGTACTGGAGTTATGTAATAGAATCCAAACAATAATTTCTATAACTAGAAAATAGTAGAAACGGGAGAGGTTTGTATTTAAACTCAATTTCTTGTTGCCAAGGCTACACTACAAGTGCGTGTAGTTGTAAAATCATTAAAAGGGAAATTAGGATGATTAAAGTACCAAACAATTAAATACTAATCCAGTTTAGTATAACGACCATTTGCCGTAAAGCAGAGCATGACGTTTTCATTTTGTGCCGAGTGCACAAATTAATGTTGCTTGAAATTGGTTCAGAAATTGACACTTTTGTACACTGCTATCCAC